GGGGGGGGGTGTTAATTATGCAAGAGAAGAGACTTACAACAATTCTCTCCCACTGGCCTGTGAAAATTTGAATTTATAATAATTCTCTATTGTTCCCACAGCACCCTGAAGAGTTCCAAACGCTGAAGCTCAATATTTTCCGCGGGTCGACGTGCAAAGTACGTAGAATGTTGGACTGTATGACATAAATAAAACTGTTAGGATTGAAAAAAATCCGTCGTTAAAAAAGCTTCTCGTTTAATCCTTTACGCCTAAAACATTAAATAGATAATAAAACTTATTTAAAAAATTCTGTTTTTCCATTTTCATTACCCTCGGGAGAGGAATGAAAGTGGGGTGAGTTCGAGTTTGATTGAAAAGCGTGCAAAGGCGGTAACGGCTATTCGTGCAGAAACACAGCAACAACAAATGGGGGGTGGGGATGAATGGGATCTGCCAGTGCCACCCTCCAGCCAACCATTTTGGGAGTGAGTCGGGGTAAAGAAGAAGGAAATGAGACACAGAAACAGAGGAAACAGGATAAAGGAGAATATTAGTTGAATCTTTATTGTCATTGTGAGCAATTATTTCAGATGCATCTCACAAACCACTTTAGGTTGTATAATCGTCAGCTTTATTTTTCTCTTCCTATGGAAATTCAGCAGCCTACTTGGAGAGTCTAAACAGGTGGTTGACGGGATAGAGTAGCTTTTTTTTAAAAATTGAGCATCCAAGCAAACGGGTGAATGAATGGAGAACCATGATCGCCGTTGTCTGTCACAGATCTGGTACTCGATGATGATGATGATGATGATGATGATGATGATGATGATGATGATGATGATGATGATGATGATGATTAAACTTGAAGAAGGGGGAAAAAAGAAATTCTGGATACCTGGCATTACGTCGTCCGTGTCCCCAGATCCATCTGGTACAGCACAAAGAGTCCAAATTGGTGGCGATCATGAAGATTCTCAACGACCGACACTCCCACGAGGCGCTCAGGGAGATGAACATGGCCCGTTTGAATCGAGATTCGCCTTTCCTGCTACGCATCCTAGATGGATTCCGCGCACTGGTAAGCTCTATGACGTCTATATTGACAGCTCAGTGCAATACTCATATTGTATATATTATATTTTTTTGTTCTATAGAGCGTTTTACGGCACTTACAACACAATTAGGTCATATTATTGCTGAAGAATATACCGGATGCCCATTGCATACGGGATCGAGTCGGGTCGGGTCGAGTCGGGATGATCGCCCGCTTGTCACCTGAAAACAAACGCATTTGTTTTTGAGACGACGAGTCGGGACAGTTCGGCTTGTGCCACGATAGCCTCTTTGCGCCCTCAATCTGGCTGGTAAACCGCCCCTATTCGACCCGATCCGCCAATGGGCACCCCGTATTAGAGTTAGAGGTGTTAAAGAGAGTAACAAACACAAAAAGGAGAGATGAGAACGACAGATGTTCGATAGGAAAGAAGGACGAAAACACACCAGAGCAACCACCATCCACCTACTGTGAGATTGATTCGTTTTTTAAAATGGTGAAAGGCGGAGTGTTACACTAAGCAATCGATAAAAGTGCAAACTGTAAAAAGTTTGTACATGTATTTATAATTTATAATAATCTATACTCATAAAAGGATACATTTTATAAACCATCATTTGCAGTCAAGATCCATACCTAGAGAGTACACATTTTTTAAATCGCTACCTAGAATTACAAAGTTCTATCTGTTCAGTACCTGGTTTCGAGAAATTTGACATTTAAAATTTCGAGTACCGCATGCCAAACTTTTTCGAATGCAATTCTTTGAATATCTTAATAATCCGAATAATCTTACGATTTTGATAGAGCAGATAGAACATTTTGGTTTCTGATCTCATTGTTTTAGTAAATCAAAAAGGCCAAAATTGTCAGATAGAACTTTGTAATTCTAATCTAACGAAGTGTCCATTTATAACTAAGCTCTATAGCCTACTGTCTCTGCATATTGACCCTATGGGATGCTGTAAGGCTCTACTGGTAGAGATCCTACTTCTCTTTTTTCCCTTCTGTTGTTTCTGCAAATAATTCAGCTTTTTCACCCAGTACTAAATGGCGGTTTTAGCGTCTATGTGACTCTTTACTCAGACAAACACACACACAAGTATTGACTCTGTCGTTTGTTTTTCTCCGTCGACCGCCAGACCAACTACTACATCCTGCTGGAGTACGCGCCTTTCCGCACCTTGGACCATCTGACGTCAGCGGTCAAGGGACTGGGCAGTGCAAACACCTGGTTTGTCCTCACTTTCTTAGTCTTCCGACCTTTCGTCGTTATCAAAATCTATCAGTATTAGTTCTCGCCATACAATGACGATCTGAAAATGCTGAAATCTTTTTACCAGTTAACAGTGACGACGACGACAACGATGCTGCTGCTGCTGCTGCTGCTGCTGCTGCTGCTGCTGCTGCTGCTGCTGCTGCTGCTGCTGCTGCTGCTGCTGCTGCTGCTGCTGCTGATGATGATGATGATGATGATGATGATGATGATGATGATGATGGTTTTTTAAAATGTTCTTGACAAAGCCCGTAATGGGCAAAAACGTTGAACGTGTTATAAAATCTTTAGGAAATCCTACCAGGTTTCAACCTTTTTTATTCTCTGTATACTCGTACTGTATACAACGATGATGATGATGATGATGATGATGATGATGATGATGATGATGATGATGATGATGGTGATGATGATGATGATGATGATGATGATGATGACGATGATGATTGTATTGATCTAAACGACAGTGTTAGAGGGTTTGCCTCCCGGACTTGCTAGTTATTTTTTGGAAGAATTGTGCTTAGTATTCCACTCATTTCTCCACACCTTTTCTCCAGTCCGTTGTGAAACTGCATAGGTTTAACACCCCTCTTTTTCAACAATGCAAAGTTATTCAAGAGATGGGATCTTCAAATTTAAAGTAGCGAACCAGATGAGTGAAATTCTTTCGTGAAAAACGCCCCCCAAAACAGCCCATGTTCAGGAAAGCCCCGTTAGGGATTCTCCAAACCAGGGCCATTTATTGGTCCACAACCCCTTATGACACCAACTGAGTTAACGCCCACCCTCCACTCCATCCATTCTGTTGTCCCGTCTCTGTGGTAACGTACCGTAGGCCTACTTTACAACGGTGGGTTGTGTTTTTAACACGCAGCTTTTACGCCCTAGAGATGGCCTGTGCCCTGGATTTTCTCCATGACCACCAAATTATACACAGGTGAGTCATCGTCGTTGTTGTTCATCGTCATCATCATCATCATCATCATCATCATCATTGTACAAAGCAGATGTTAAAACAGTTAAAACCTGGTAGTGTTTCCAAAATATATTTTATCCAAAGTTCAACGTTTCACCCTCAACGGGCTTCCTCAGGAACATTCACAATTCGTCATCATCATCATCAACAACAACAACAACAACAACATCTTCGGGGCTCCGAACATTTCGAACGGATAGGCTACCACACACACACACAACAACAACAACATCAACAACAACAAGAACATCATCATCATTGTGAATAACAGGGGATTAAAAAAGGGGTTGAAACTTGTAGAATTTCTAAAGATATGTTATATAGGTTCAACGTTTCACCTGATCACGGGCTTCATCAGGAACATACCAAAAATAATGTTAGATCTAATGACTACACTAGTGCGCACATCAACGTCACGATGCTAAGAGGTGCGACAAGCACAAATCTAAAAGACCGGAGGAAAGGGAATGACAAGAAGTGGTATGATAAATATACCATCATCATCATCATCATCATCATCATCATCATCATCATCATCATCATCATCA